GAGAGAGAGAGAGGAGAGATATTGTATTCTAAGCAAATTATAATAACGTTCATGCCAAATGGCTTTGTCATTCATCTTTGAGAATTATAGTAGCAACTTACCGATTCCTTTTATTCCCTGTTTCTTTTATCCTCGTAATAACGTCGTAATTGCATTTGAGGAAAATTTAATGTTCATGTGATTTGCTACCTGTGTGTTCAGTTCTTTTCTTTTTAATCTTTTAACGTCGAAATTGATCTCTTAGGTTTTCTCTTTAATACGGAAAAAAATTAGCTATTAAGAAATTAGCTATTTCTTAATACCATCTCTTATTCTTTTAGCATTAATAGCATATGCATTACGCGACTTAATTTTTCAAGCAAAAAAAAATCATGGACGTTGGTCTTGGAATGACAGAACTGTACATTCCTTTCGAAATAGTAAAATTAATGAACAATTACAACATGTGAAAACATGAAATACTATTTTCATGGAAATTAACATAGGCTAGTTTCTACAAATTTCGATATTTATGGGAATAGTACATTGAATTTAAGTAAAATTGATATATAATGTAAATACTAATGTGCTATTAAGTGAAGTATAGATTCTAGAATTTACAAATAATTTTTAATATCGTTTTGTACTTCGTCTGTTTTAAATAATTAAGTTCTCTGAAATATCAGTCCAGTGAAATAACGCATCGAAGTGTCATGGAATTAAAAAAAGTGTCACTTATGTACAACAGATTGCAGCATTTTTTATTGGACTAAAGATAGTATTTTATCATATGAGGTGGTTCATTTTTGAGTGAATGCATAGATGCGCCGAACTATCGCTGGAAGGATCGAAACATGGTGAGATAGGACAGAGAAGTTTTCACAACCTTTAAGAAATAAAAAAATTTTCTTTGGAAAATGTATAATGCGAAGGCAGTCAGAATATAGTAATTTTAGACTTACTGTTGCAAAGCTTTCTATGGACATAATCATTAATTTCCCAGCGGTTATTCTGCACGGTGAATTCGTTCTATTCATTATAAGGAGGAGAAGTTTTCGACATCTACTCGAAGTGTAATACCAATTTGCTCTGCAGCTATTACTCAAAGTAAATTATATTTAAGGTGATTAATGATTAATCTAGCAAACATTTGTGTTTATATTTTAATTTTCATCTTGCTATTAAATGCTCCTGTTGATTTATTGCATTTCGAATTAAATAATGTATAACAGAAACGAGAAAACACATGATAAATATTTTTGCAAAGAACATTAAAATAGAAATATTTTTTAATAAAATAATGTTTCTAATTAGGATAGATTTGTTAGATATATAAAATGCTCATTTTTTGCTTTGGTAATAAATAATCATGTAGAAATAAATCGAATCTAATCAAGAACAAAGTCACAATTCTAGATAGCCGAAGAAAAAAGAATTTCCGATATATTTTACACGATTATTCTTATCGATTGCAAATGTTATTAAAAAACATTTCCATATCAATGAATTTTGTAAAAATTTTCATCACATTTTCTCGCTTTCGACGTCATTAAGGCAGATGGCAGCAACAAACCAATAGTGATGTCAGAAACGACCTGTAGTTGCTGACTTATTATAGTTATCTTGATAATGTCAGAAGTGAGAAAACACATCATAAAAATTCTTGATCAGCAGGAGCATTGAAAACAAAATCTTCTATTATTTGTTTTGTTATATATGCTTTGCCTGTAAGTCTAATATTATAATCAGACTAACTAACAATTACAATGTGAGAACGTGAGATACTATTTCCACGGAAATTAATATAGCTTTTTATAAATTCTGGTATTAGATCCAAAGGCAAAGCGTGTATCGATGACACATGATATTATCAATGTGATATATATATATATATTTTTTTTTATATTTATATAATAGATAATAAATAAAATAAGAGTAAAATTTAAATTAGCTTAATTTTTCGGATTTCTAATAAATTCATTACTTGATAAAAAATATGTTTAAGTACATTTAGTTCATACATTTAAGTTGAATATATTCGAAGAGTGATATACGAAAGTATATTATCTATATTTCCTCCTTTTACCGTTAAATTCAGCTACTGCATGAAGATATAGTCGCTGTTTATAGATCTATGATAACATATAAAGAAACTACAACAACATTAGAAAAAGTGTGCTTTTAAGCGAGCGACTATTTATTGCAACTGTAAATAATTCGCTATACTAAGAAAATCAAATATTTTAATTCAAAATTCCCTTGATGTGTTAGAAAAAAAATTAGGAAAAGGTGATAATTAGACTGCAATGATAATGATTCGATAAATTTGCATTCTTACATAGAGTCATACGGAAGGACGCTGTAATCCAATAGAAACTGAGCTTGCCAGAAATGAAGAAACATATGAATAAGTTGTGCAACATAAATAGTAATAGGTCCAATGACGTCATTCGCGGTTTTGTCTAAATTCATTAATACCTAAAATGCAATTTCAAAATTTTTTCAAATTTCTTTCGATTATCATATTAACTTAACCGATTGTTAAAATTTCATTTGCGGTTACTCAAAATAACTAGTAATAACTTTTTTTATTTTTTGCAATAAGAATTTCGTTGAGTGGGGAATAATCAATTTTGAAATTGATATTATCAATGTGATATATATTGAATTATCGATTTATTAAAAACGCGAGGAATTTAGGTATAGCTTTGAACGAGCTATGTTGCAGTTTGTAATTTAACGACACGATATAAGCATCTTCCTTGAATTTATACACATAATTCAGTAAAGGATAATTATTCGAAATTAAGATCTCATCCGCTGATTAATGCAACCTATGATCTATGATTGTAATAAATTTTTTCAAATTTTTATTTTTTGTTATCAATATGACAAAATTTCTTGTTTCCTGCAAAAGTAACTATTATACTATACAAAAGAAAAATTGATACGTACTTGTATGCCAGCTATACTACCGCCAATCATATTCATATTAAGATTAACTAAAAATATCTTGGTGTAAAGAGACTCAATTTGTTCCGCAAATCTGAAAAATGATCATAATGGTTCATATTAATACGAAAAATTCGATATCTCAACGGTAAAAAGGGGGTTGTATATATATATATATATATATAATATGCAAATTCTTGATACGAACTCAATCACATGAAGATGTTTGCGTAAACATTGCAAAACTCTGTTGTAATTATCATCTTTTCTTTTGTCCGGTTTTGAATCAAAAGTGACACCAGCATTTTTCCCGATGTTTTCCAACACGTATCTGCAATGCCGCTAATAATGCAGACATTTCTAACAAACCGTATTTTTTAATAATAAATCATCGAAACAATCGATTACCATTTAGAGATCGATTGTTGTCGTTTTGTAATCAAAGTAAATCATTCATACCCAATAATTGAAAACATCCCACAAGCGTGCTGAATCAAAGTACAATAAAAGCCATCCACCATGATTACGGTGAACATGTGAGCTATCACGGCCCCATAACAATGCACCGTTATCGGATATATATACTGATTGAACTTCTGGCCATACTCCACGCGATAAGGTAATTTTGATGCAAATGATATAGAAGATTTTGTGACGTTAATGGTATCATCAACCATCACAGTTAACATGACTGGCTTAAGTACAAAAAGGCATGCCGTCATATGAGCATACACTAAAAAAAATAAGATATGAGAACGTCTTGGTCCGTATTTATCTATATTTGAAGCAAAAAGATTTACAATTTATTGCAATAAATACATTTTAACACATTCACTGTTTATAATCCATCAGGTGGATTGATTTCAGTCAGTGATGTATGTTTAGTATTTATGGTATTATGCATATAATGGGTAAATCTATGCACACTATAAACAAAGTTATTTTCATATCGAAAGATTCAATATATTTTATATAAAGAAAATAATAACTAAACGGCGATCAAAATTAATCTGCATTTTTTTTTAAATAGAGTAACTTGAGAATTTAATCTAGTACTTTCGGATGAGTTTTTTTACACGCCAATCAAATTCCGTTCTCTTTATGTTTTATGGAGATGGAACACGAAAATATTCGAGTAATTATATCGCGATGCTTCGCAAAACATGTTGCACTACTTCGCACATTATTTTTAAAATCATATCGAATATTTAGGCGTCCCTCTTCTTTTATTCCATGAAGCTGAAAGAACTGAACGCTTTGCCATTAGTTCTTCTTTGCATCAGTAAATGTGTTAAGATTTTTAAAAGATTCTATGAAAAAAATGTTCTTTTTATGTAATTTGAAGGTCCTATGACGGAGCTTCATAAAATCGTAGGAGATCTGATATACACTTACGTACATATGTTTGTCCAAAAAGTTGATGTTTTTATGATTCTAAAATGAATATACCTATGTAAAACGTTGTTAGGTACTGTCCATATTCAGCATGCCGTTGCAGAATAGCCTTTTCTATATCTGTATTTAGTGACAACCAGTCCTCTTTTATCGTATTAAGACAAATCTTTATCTATAAGAGAATATACGCGTTTGTTTTTTTATTACACAATATTCCTTCATAGATAGATTTAAAGTTAACATCGAACACCCATCACTTACTTTTTCATTATTTAATATCATTGTAATTACTTTAAAACTGAGGACTATGCTGATGAATATCGATGGCAAAGACTCGAATATGTCATCGAGAGTTATTGGGTGAGTTAAGTAAAGTAACTGGTAGTAATATTGGAATTAATTATATAAAATAGAATCATAAAAAAATAATTAATTGTTTCCAAAATTTAAATAGCTATACACATATATATATTTTGTTTCTAACTTATAATTATTTAAAGTTAATCAGTATATTAAAGCAATTTTGTTATATATATATATATACACACACATATATACCTGGGTATTAAAATACTAAAGACAAAATATAAATAATGGCAACAAAGCGAACACATCTGTCGCGAAGTTTGTGATACGGCCATGTTCCTGAAATTATCAGGTTAATCTAAGAACAATGTAGTATCGACTTACGCCTAAATGCTCTTCTTGCCGTCCATTCTTCGAAATAGTTTAAGATTGTGTAACTGTATCAACGGCTACTACGTAAACGTTCGATATTTGACAAATTACAGAAGCTTACTTACCTATTCCTTCTATTCTCTGTGTGTTTTGCAACATCATCGTAATTACTGAGAAATAAGCGTGCGAATTTACTGTCTATGTATTCAGCCTTTCTCTGTTTACATTTTTAAAGCTGGTCACATATACCATTTCTCTCTGAAGAGAACATCCCCTTTTACCTTTATATTCCGTATATTACGTATATATGTGTTAGGCGAAATAGTCTCAAATAATACTCTTAGCGAATACATCTGATGGTTTATTTCTTGATCAAACAGAACCTTACACTTTATCAACAATTCGAAGAAGTAAATGATAAAGGTAAGGAATAATGTGAATATAAGATAATTTAATTTTTTAGATAAATTTCTGTAAACTCCAACATTGACACATAATATATACATAATGACGTGCTATCAATGAAATGTGAATTTTAGTCTTTAACAGTGATTTAATGAAAATATGTATATGAATATTTATAGTCACATAAAAAGTCACATAAAAAGTTTTCGACGATAAATTATAATAATATCAGCAGGTAATTAAAAATCATAAAATTTATTTTTCAACGATATTCATGTGAATTTGTTAGGCTAAGCATTATTAGTTTAATCTTTTCTACAGCAGTGAATGTATTAAATGAATAAATTTAAAACAGGAGCAAGTATAATACATCGAAAGTGCTATGGAACTGAAGAATAGTGCTCGTTACATTAGATTGTATTTTTATTGCATTAAAAAAATGTATTTTCTCAAATGTTTTACAGAGAATGCTTAGATATTATCATTGGAGCGATCGAAATACGGTGAGATAAGATAGAGAAGCCTTCACAACCTTGAAAAAATAAAAATTTTTTTGATAAATAGCAATAAATGCGACGATAAAGATTCAAAACAATATTTTATAATTTATTTATACTTACTACGGCAAAGCTTTCGATGGACAAAACCATTATTTTACCAGCGGTTATTTTGCACGGCGATACCGTTCTGTTCATAATCAGAAGAAAAAGTTTCTGACATCTTGTCGAAGTATAATACCAATTCGCCCTGCATCTATTATTTCGAAATAAAATTAAATTAATAAAATTAATAGATTAATAATAAATTTAGCAAGTATATGTACCGTAGTACTTTATACTAGATTTTTATCCTATCTATTCTATCTATCTATTTTTAAATATAAGAAATTTTAAAATTTATCTTTTAATTTGTCTCGTATATATTACGTTGTAAAAATATTGTAATAATATTAGAAACTACAATTATAAGCGCGCGATTATTAATAGCAATTATAAATAATAAGATAAAATATTTTAAAAATTTAGAAAAAAGGAAAAAATAGGAAACTTAAAAATTAGGTTATGGGGATAATATCTTTAATATAAACTTATTAAAATTTGTATTTTTACATAGATTCATACGGAAGGACGCTGTAGTCCAACAGAAATTGAGCTTGCCAGAAATGAAGAAACAAATGAATAAATTGTGCAATATAGACTGTAATAGGCCCAGCGATGTCATTCATATTCTTGTCTAAATTCATCAATACCTAAAACGCACACTTAATTATCTTTGAAAGCTCTTTATATTTTTTGAATTACTACATTAATATTAATTGATCGTTGAAATTTCGTACGATGACTAAAAATAGTATCATTATTCTCAAATTTCTGTTTATTGTTGTAAATTCGATAATAAAAATTTTCAGTTGTTCCAAAAATATCCTTTGACACATGAAGCAAAATTGATGCGTACTTGTATCCCGGCTAAACTGCCACCAATCATATTGAAGTTAAGATTAAGCAAAAATATCTTTGTATACATAGATTCAATATGTTCCGCAAACCTGGGAAATAATCACACTAAATCATTATAACTGATATGAAAAATTCAGCATTAATGCAGAAATGAATGAAAATGAATAACTATTGTTAAATAATGATTAATGTCTTCATACATACTCTATTACATGGAGATGTCTACGTAAACAATTTAAGACTTTAATATAATTATCATCTTTCATTTTGTCCGGCATCAAATCAAAATTGTTGTCGCTATTTTTACCAATGTTCTCCAACACGTATCTGTAATGTCACCAGAAATCTCAATGCTTTTCGCAAATCGTCTTTTCGTCACTTTGTAATCGGTATTATTATCTTTCATCAAAGTGTATCATTTTTACCCAATAGCTGAGAACATTCCGCAAGCATGTTGAATTAGGGTATAGTACAAGCTGTCAATTGCAATTGTGGCGAAAGCGTGAGCAAGTATAGCTGCGTAACAATGCACTGCTATTGGATACACGTACTGATTGAGTCGTTTGCCATATTCCACGTGAAAGGGCAGCCTCGACGCGAATGGTATAGTGGATTCTGTTACATTTAAAACATCCTCTGCTAACAGGGTCAGCATGACTGGCTTCAGCACGAAAAGACATGTCGTCATATGCATGAAAACTAGGAAAAACAGTGTATGTGACAAGATACTTTAGCTATATATATTTATCCACATGCGTGAAATGAGAAGAGAAATCTTTTTGTTGAAATAAGATGTGATGTTTTCACGATTATTTGCAAGTGCATAAACATAAAATGCTTCTTTTCACAGATGATATGGGTACCTACACTTGTGTTCATAGGAATTTTCTTTTTTTTTTTTTTTTTTTTTTATAGTTATACATACCTGCGTAAAATGTCGCAATATATTGTCCAAACTTAGTATGCCGCTGTAGAATATCTTTTTCTATACTTGTATTTAGTAACAACCAATCTTCTTTTATTGTATTCAAACAAATTTTGACCTGTGAACAAGTACGTGCAAATTTTTTATTATGCTAAGATTTTTTTCATATAAATGTGTAAAAAGTTAACGCAACATTGAAATACATCACACTTACTTTTTCACTGTTTAACATTATCGTTAGTATTTTAAAGCTGAATACTGTGCCGATCATTATCGTTGGTAGACATTCGAATACATTATCAAGATTTAGAAAGACAAGAAAGTAAAGTAACTGTATTGAAATCAATAATGTGAAATATAATCATGAAATTAATCAAGTTTTTTGAATTTACAAAGTTATATGTCTATTTATTTATAATTTTGCGCAATCAAATTTCTTATAATAAAATACATAACAATCTTATTTATCTATATTTATTTTCTATTTCTCTTTGTCTCTTTAATATTACAATAAATAATGTATATATTTAAAAATTACGTAAACAGTTATATATAATACAATTTAAAACATAATACAATCTCGAAATTTTTAAAATAATAGAATTTTCTAGATTTAAGTATTGATGTCAAATATATGTAGAAAATTCTTTTTGATTGGAAACAAATTTTTTTTATCTATAAACTGAAAATGTCAGTCAATGATTTAAATTGTAGTTTCTGCTATGTTCAGAATTGTATTCGTATTCCTATTATCATAAATTTTCAAACAATTTACTAAAACTAAAAAATTACATCTTCCTGAATCAACAATTGTTTCTTCTTTATATTTAAAGTGTCAATTAATTCAATCTGTATATATTTTATAATTACATTAGATTTTAATTCTTCTTATCGAATTCTTCTTATCTTCTTATATTTTGTATTAAAAACAAAATATTTGTTAAGAGTTTGAAAATGCATCACGTTATTATAAATATATTTTATTATGCTGTAACTTCGTCGTTAACAAACATATTAACAAACACATTAAGATTCGGATTGTTTAAAGAGAGTTAAAAATTATAATAATCAATATATATTTTGCAGTGCAATAAATACGTTGTAGCATATTTTTTGCCGGTAAATGCACATTTTTCATTATATATACCTGGGGTATTAAAATGGTAAAGGAGAGTGTAAATATTAACACAAAGCGAATGTATCTGCCATAAAGTCCATGATATGGCCATGTTCCCGAGATAGTTAAATATAATTTGAGAATATAGTATTGCCTTTGCCAGATATCTTTCTTGATCATTTTTCGTAATAATAATATGGCAAGCTATATCAGCAATTCTCTGTGATGAAGAACGTTTGATATTCGATGAATTGCAAAGGCTTACTTATTGATTTTGTCTATTTCCTATTCTAGATAGTATTACCGCAATTGTACTTAAGAATAAATGCGCGATTAACTATCTATGTGTTCAATCCTTTTATATGTTTGCATCTTTAACGGTAGTATTTTCTTTGAAGAGAGCTTTCCTTTATCTCTATATCCCATGTTAGCAGCATATGTAATATTCGCATCAGTTTTCGAACAACATTCTTAGCGAACATATCGAGTTATTTTATCTCGTTTGTGGAAAGACAGGCTTCTATTCTTCGAACGATCAGATAAAATGAATAGCAACAATGGTAAATGAGATCAAAACTTGAATTAATTCGATTTAATACTTAATTTAAAAACTAATTCAAACCAATCATCTAGTTTCAATAAATTCTCAAATTTACGGAATACAACAAATAAAATATGATATAAAAATTTAAATCTATATAAGAATTTCAATCTTGTGTTGTTTTTAACTTGCGTTTTGATGTATGTTTTTCGATAAATAGGATGTTATTAAGAATATTTTTGTGTAAGTGTTAAATAATTTGGGGAAAAATTAAATTGGCTGTTATAAAAAAGTAATGTTAAACTTTTTTATTAAAATTATTTATTAGGATTATTAGGAATTTTATTACAATAAAAGATATAAAATTTAAGAATGCATTATTTTTATCATATATTTTTAATTTCTTTAAAATAGTCTGGTTTGATCGCCAGTTGAAATTAGCATAATAATTCACAAATAAATCTTCAAATTTTAATTTTAGTTTCTTAAGATTCAAAAACTGAACGCAGAGATGCAATTTGGAACCGTCAGTTGAAAGAACGTAGCATCGTAAAATAAGACATCATTGTTTTTAAAACCTTTAAGAGTAAAAAATCATTAGAAAATATTTTTTTTAAAAAAAAGATGATTATGACAATATGCTAATAATAATGCAATTTTACTGTGCCAAAATTTTCGATGGTCAAAGGCACAACTTTGCCGGCAGTTATTTTACATGGTAGCACACTCCTATTCATAATTAAAAAAAGAAGTTTTCGACATCTTCCCGAAGTATAATACCAATTTGATTTACAACTATAATTCGGAATAGAATTATTTTAGTACTATATTCTAAATTAGAAAAAAATGTACGAAATTCATATAAAAAATTTATAATAAAAAACATTCACTGTTATTATGTATTTGTAAGAAAAATATTTAGATATGTAACAAATGAATCATGATAATTCCATTGCATTAAATTAGAAAAATGAAATTTTATTCTTACATTGATTCGTAAGGAAGAATACTATAATCTAATAGAAATTGAGCCGGCCAAAACTGTAGGAAGAGATGAATAAGTTGAGCAATATAAATAGCAAAAGGTTCTACAATATCCTTTGCATCGTTCAAGTTCAAAACCACCTGAAATATTTAAGATTTTTGAGATAGATTTTGAGATATTTTTGAGATATTTTCCTTTCTAAAAACATTCATTTTTTTCTATCCTCAGATTATTTATTGCAAAATGTAAATATAATTTTTGTCATGGATTTTTCTTCAATTACAAAATTTTCTTTAAAAGAAATTTTTATTGCTAAGTACGGTAAAAAAAAGTATGCATACCTGTATACCAATCATACTGCCGCCAATCATGTTAAGACAAACGCTGACCAAGAATATATTTGTGAACGTAGACTCGATCAGTTCCGCGAATCTGTGAAATTGTTAAAAATCGAACGCGCTCAAAGGTAATGCGTTAATTACAATTAAAGATAATATAGAAATTATAGTTGTGCAGTACATCTCGATACGGAGCTATTAACACGCACTGTATCACGTGCAGATGCCTGCGCAGGCAGCCCAAAGCTCTGTTGTAATTGTCGTCTTTTACCTTGTCGGGCTTCAGGTCGAAATTGCCATCGCTATCTTTGCCGATGTGTTCCAGCGTGTGTCTGGAAATCCGCTCAAATGACAACGCTCCTGTCAAAATCGAAACCAGCCGCTCTTTTATTCGGGCTGGAATCGAAACTGAGATCGAGACGAGAGACAAAGTATCGCGGTACATACTCAGAGGTCGCAGATGGACCCGGTATTCCACTTACGATCATCTCTATTATTATATTTCGATCTGTAATTGTCATTCTTGAGCTCCTTACCCAACAATCGCGAACATCCCGCACGCGTGTCGAATCAAAGCGATATAGCAGGAGTCAACCGCGATCGTAATGCTGATGTGAGAGAACACGGCCAGGTAACAATGTATCGCCATGGGATATAGATACTGGTCTAATATTTTCCCATATTCTATCCTGAGGGGTAGCTTCGATTCTGCCACTAGCGAGGATACTGTCGCTTCCGAAGTATCCTCCAGCAGCATCACCACGAGCGATTTCGATATAAGAAGGATTCCCACAAATTGCATAAAGACTAAAGAAATCGATATACGCGTTACGTCGAGTAATCGTTGCAAGCTCCAACCGAGTTTTGGAGGAGGCCTGACATTTTCTAGCGAAATTTCCAAAACGTACCTCCGTACGTTAGCGTGATATACCGTCCGTGTGCGGTATGTTTCCGTAGAATATCCCTTTCGACGTTCGTATTCAACGACAACCAGTCGTTCTCCATTGTCTCGAGACAAGTCTTCAACTACGAAACATAAACATGCGCGTATTTTTCACAACGCTGACTATCTTTGTACCGAAATCATTATTAATATTAAGAGTTTAATCGCATTCGCATAAAAATTATACGCGCTATATACATGAAGTCATTGAAAGATTCGATCGAGTTACAAGAAAAAAATTTCTTGCAGATTTTCAATCATCCTATTTTCGATCAAGAATTTTTTATTAAAATTTCTATTTCGCATTACTCGAAGTGTGCGACGTGTGACGTACTTTCTTGTTGTGCATCATCAACCAGCCTAATTTGAAACTGAATATTATAGTGATCCACATCGATGGGGTGCATGAGAATACATCGTCAAGATCCACCGCGGCGATCATCAGGTATAGTAGCTACGTCAAAATTAATGTTACAAAATAAATTATATTATTTAATTAATTATTAATAATAATAATATAATATAATAGAATAATAATTAAATATTAATAAATATAATAATAATAATAAATATAATATTAATTTCATATATATTAATACATTTGGACGAACTAACGAAGCGTTGCGGAATAAACTGATAAGCCAAATAGCTTCGTGGCACATACTTGAGGTACAAGAATGGTGATGGAGAACATGAACATCGGCACAAAGAGCAAACATCTGTCGCGAAACGCATGGTAGGGCCATATTCCTACCAAGCTCATGTACGCTCTAGGAACGGTATAAAAGCGACTTTGCCAAATGTTCTTTCGCTCATCCATTTTCAGAAACACTAAGATTACGAACTATCAACGATTTCTTGTGAATACTCGCTACTCGGTAAGGGAAATACTATTATCAATTCCTTGTGTCGCAGTATTGTACGGCTATAATTACGACATTACGAAATTATTACGCAATTATTTCCCGTGGTGTATAACTCTATCACCCCCTCACGGTTGCTATTACGCAAACCGTGTCTTTTAGTCGCAGTTTTGCGAAGAGTGACAACTACCCATTTCTCACTAAAACATTTGCTCGCTGTTCATTGAACGAAGTTGATAATAAATTGAGTTATTAAAATGAGTATCACGACAATTCTGTTCTTGGATAATTGAATCGGTTACTGCGAAAGAAATTACGTAGCGTTTCTCTGCCACGATGATCGCAATTCTTGAATGCGGTAAATAAAATACGAGACTTAAACGTCAAAATTAAATTTTTGTCATATATTCTTGATACTTTTGATAATTAGAATGCGTGGACACAGTTTTCAGAATTTTCTTAATAAACCGGCCTGCATGAATCGCACGTTGAATGTCTTATTGGAAGGAGCGCAGCATTGTGAAGTAGGACATTGACGTTTTCAGAACCTTCGGAGGAATGAAATCACGAAGTACATCTTAAAAGAAGAACTCAAGAAGCGGAAAGATAAATGATATTTTACTTACCACGCCGAAGCTTTCAATGGACAAAGTCGCCACTTTGCCCGCAGTTATTCTGCATGGTGAGACAGTTCTATTCATGATTAAAAGCAAAAGTTTTCTACATCTATCCGAGGTATAATACCAATTTGCTCTGCAACTATGATACAAAACATGCCAAATAGCGATAAAATCGAAAAGATTGTTTCTGTGTTTTTTCTATTTTACTTGAACGTATGATATGTCATATCAAAATGATGAGAATGAACTCAAACAGATTTGACTGCTTACATCGACTCGTACGGAACGTTGCTGTAATCCAATAAAAATTGAGCCTGCCAAAATTGCAGGAAAAGATGGATGAGTTGAGCAATATAAATAGCAAGGGGTGCTATTATATCTTTCGCATCATTTAAATTCATCAATACCTAAAACATATATTTTCTTTCGTATTAATTACCGTATCGTTGATTATATAAGTGTTATTAATATGATTTGAAAAAGGAAAGCATAAAGAGCCGAAAGATGTAAAATATAATATTGTGTTTACAAATATTTTCATTTAATTAAAAAATCTTGTTCGTATAACAAATTATAGTATAAAAAAATTAACATACCTGTATCCCGCATATACTGCCACCAATCATATTTAAACTGACGCTGACCAGAAATATATTTGTAAACGTAGATTCGATCAGTTCTGCGAATCTGGGGCGAAATTTGTGCGACTTGTATTAAAAATAATAAAAATACATGAATGTAAAGTACACATAGAATTGAGAAATAATGCGTTACTTATGACGTCGTTATCCCTAGCTACTTTTCTGGATTTAATAATATTTGATGTTGATAACAACGAAGATAATTATATTTTTTTATTGATAATAGTAATTGATAATGATTTTTATAAACGGTGAAAAGAATTTACAAAATTTAGTAAAATAATTTAGTAAAATAACAATTTATTACAAAAATTATAATTCATTACTTTTTGATTAACGAGTTACTTCTTTACGATGAGTTATAGTAACAAATTATTTTTTACAAAATAACTTTCTCAATCCTGAGTATATATTGCTGTAATAAAATATAACACGCACTCCATTACATGCAGATGTCTGCGTAAGCAGTCGAGAGCTTTGTTGTAATTATAGTCGTTTATTTTGTCAGGCTTCAGATTAAAATTTGCGTTCATATCTTTACCGATATGTTCCAGCGTGTGTCTGGAAGCCGCTAAAATAATAACGCTTTTGGCAAATTGTATTTTTCAGATTGTAAGATCGAAACAGCAAGGTGCTTTCATGGTATTAGTTAAGATCTGTAATTTTAATTTTTTATAAATATCGTTCCTGATACTCTTACCCCACGACGGAGAACATCCCGCAGGCGTGTTGAATCAAAGAGATGTAAAAGGTATCAGCGGCAACCGTGGCTGTTACATGAGAATATACAGTTAAATAACAATGTATCAGTATTGGATAAAAGTACTGATCTATCTTCTGGCCATATTCTACACGGAAGGGTAGTTTCGTTACGGCCAGTTTGGTCGAGTTCGAAGTATCCTCCATCATTATTAATACGATCGACTTAAGCATGTAAAGTAAACCTGTCATCACCATGAAGACTGGAAACATATGCATATAAAAAGTATCACTAAAGAATTTGATCAAGTTATGAGAAAAGAGCTTTCTGGCAAAGTTTCAATTTTTTTAATAATTTTCCATCAAAAATTTTGTTATATCAGAGCATCTATTTTTTTTTAACGTATTTACCTGCGTAAAACATCGTCAGATATTGTCCATATGCAGCATGTCGCTGCAGAATAGCCTTCTCGCTATCCGTATTCAATGACAACCAATCATTCTCTATCGTCTTAAGACAAGCTTTTATCTACGAACACACACTCGCCTTTTTTCATGACACCAATAATATTTATTATCAGAATGGATATCGGGAATTTGATTAATTGACATTAATCGCATTAATAAAATTCGTGTAATAATCATATTACTTACTTTTTCACTGTTCGCCATCAAACTTGCTAATTTAAAGCTGAATATTATTGTGATTAATATCGTTGGCATACATTCAAACAAATCTTCGAGACCTGTCATGGCGATGAGCACGTATAATAACTATATTATGAAATATTAATATGAATATGTTATAAACACTGATGAATATATTCTTGAAAATAAAAAAGTATGAGTTTCAAAATATTTTCTGGAGAAAAACTACTTGCGTGTGAAAAGAACCGAACATTACGGTACCGAACATTACATTATTATAAAATTTCGACGTAAAAATAAGAATTTTTTTAAACTTATAAGGCGTTAATTAAATGCGATATATACCATAGGTATAAGGATAATCGAACAGATTATAAATGTTGGTACAAAGTGCAAATATCTATTGGAAATCTGATGGTACGGCCATAGTCCTGCTAAGGTCATATATAATCGAGGAATCGTATAATATCGACTTCGCCAAATATCCTTTCGCTCGGTCATTCTTAGAAATACTAGAAATTCGAATTACATCAATGATTACTTACTTTACTTTTACGTATGCTTGCTACTGCTTGCGTAAGCAAAACGCCTAGACGTTATTAACAATTCCTTGTGTTGCAGGTTGGATGCCCATAATTATGCCACTATAACATAGTGCGCAATTATTTGCACGCACTGAAACCCTTTTCATTGCAGCTTTTCATCATAACAATTGATTCCAATAATTGACTCTTTCGCAATACGGAAATAGCATATTCTAGCGTTCGAACAATTTGCGACTTTAATGTTCGCACGACATTTGCATGAGATGATAGTGTTAGCTTTGTGTCGCAAGAGGGATTTAAATAATAAATAAAAGAAATTTGTGTAAAAATGTGAAGTGTTGTTAATGTGGAAAAAATGGCACAATTTAATTAAAAAACATATATCTTGTCAGTAAAATAATATTCAGAAATTAAGTTAAATATGACACTCGAAGGCATAAAAAAGTATAACTTTTTTCTACAATTAAAAAATCTTACAATATCAAAATAAATCCCAA